TAGTGTAAAAATTTTTATTAATTAAATTTTATTTTTAATTAGTAAAAATTTTTGCATTAACTTTATAATTAGAGTAATTCTTTCAGAAAAAATCTAAAAAATCTGAAAAAAATATATATTAAGCTATAACTGATAAACTTTATTTTAACATAAAAATAAAAATTATTTCTTATTAAAATTATAAATTTTTCTATAGAGAGAAAATTTTAATTTTTACTATATTTTATTAATAAATTTAGCCCCTGAGTCTCTGAGTTATTACTTTTGATTGCCACTATATATATTTTTAAATATAGAATTTCTTTACTTTACTATAATATATAAGTTAAGAATATTATAAATTTTAATAAATAATATAATATTAAATGCTAAAATACTAATTAAATATTAAATATATAACTTATCTTAATTATTACAAATCTTTTTGAATTTATTAAATATTAAAATATTCACTATCTATTAATATATAATTTGATATAATTTTTGAATTTTAGTATTTTAGCATTTTTCAAAATAATTTCAGTAAGTATTCTTAATATAAGTTAAGTTTAACATTGTATGATATATTTATAATAAGTAAAATCTAAATTTTTAACTATTTTATAAAGTAATATATATTATTTTTCATTATTTTATATAAAATAAATTTTTTTATAATTATTTAAGACTGCTATTCTTTCTAAATATAATACTTTTTTCTATTTATTTATATTTATTAATAAAGTAATATATTAGAATAGAATTATATTCAAGTATTTTTGTGATTTGAGTAATATATAATTTTTATATATATTTATAAAAATTTTTTCTTATTAAATTATATATAAATAATTATGATCCAGTGCAAAAAGATTAGTATATCAATATAAAATTAATAATGCTTCTAATAAAAATCATTCAAATTTTAACTAATCTTTATAATTTTTAATATTAAATAAAAAATGGTCTAAATTAACTTTTATATTATTTTAATAATTCTATCATACTTTAATTTAATAATAAATGAAGCATTACTTTACTAAAAAAACTAAAATAAAATTATTTTTTTTTAAAAAAGATAATTTTTAAATATTATCACTATCAATTGCAATATTAAAACTTTAATTATGCAAGCAGATTGTCTTAGATTTGATAAATATATATTCTAAATTTTATAAAAATTGAATCAGTAGGAATAAAAATATTAAGATTCAAAGTTTAAGAATTAAATTATTTATTATATAATTTTTATATTAATAATAATTCAAGAAAGTTTATTATTAGTAAAAATTTTTTTATAAAAGATATATAATAAAAATTTTACATTTAAATAAATCCCAATATCTAATAACTTAATTATTCTATAATTATTTTTTATTAGAATCTTCAAATTCTAAGCTTTCAGAATATATATTTTATTATAAAAGTTGATCCATTAGAAATTCTATAATTCTCATTTGAATGAAATAAATTACTTTTGTGTTTAGATTTTTTATTAATGAGCTAAAGATCAATTTTTTCATATATATATATTTATTTTACATGATCATTTAATATTTCCAGATCTATTTGTGTTTTACAACTATAGATTTAGAATGACTTAATATTTTACTGTTTTCACTTATTGTTTTTTGACTTTTTCATAGAGCAACAATTTCTTCATATTCGAATCTCTAAGTTCTGAGCTTTTTGGCATTACTCAAAAATGATTATTTTGAAAGCATGAAAAAAATATTTTCTGAAGTAGAAATCAAGATGAATATAATAAAAAAAGATCAAATAATTTTGATAGTTGATTGCAAAGATAGGTATAAGCACTACACATAACTTCGAAAATTTATAATCTAAAAGGAGCACTCGATAAAAAAAGTACATGTGTATAACATAAGTGGATGCATGAGTGTGCTACAAAAGTTCGTTGATTTTTCCAGTTGTCGATCTTGTCCCAGATACTGAATCTTTATCTTCTTACGATACCGATTGTGCGACAACAAAAAAAATTTGCACGACCCGAGTTGCATCATAAATGTTTTTTTGGAAAAAAATTTCCTAAAAAGTTTATTGGGATCTATAAAAGTTGCGGCCTGAAGAAAAAGGAAATGTTAAAAAAGAAAATCTTCATTGTTAATGCTTAATCAAGTAGATTACTTTTACTAATAGTTAATACTTAATAAGTAAGTTATTTTCAATAAATGATCCTTTTTTAGTTACTTTTCTATAGTCAATGCTTAAACATGTAGATCCCTAGTGAGATTACTCTTGAATATAAAGATGGCAAGAGTCTTTCGACGAAAGATCAAGAAACCCATTCTAATCTAATTAAAAATGAATTCGTCTGTTCAATTACCACCGTCGATAAGTGATTTTACCCCCAAACAATTAGGCGAAGTGCAGGAATTGCAACATAGAAACCGTAATATTTACGTTTAAAATTTTTAACTTTTGCATTCATTATGGTTACTTAACTTTTTTATTTCAAAACACAACAGTAACCTCAATCACATGGCCACTTTTTACAACAAATCACGCGCTTTTTCTCATTGGACTTTATCTTATGTCACGAATTTGTGAAAGAATAATAAAATATTTACAACCCGATGTCTCTTTATTACATCTAAAGAATTGCACTACATATCTTCTCGAAATTTTTTGGACGTTTGTCGCTTTAGCTTTACAACTTTCAGTTTATCGATTATTGATTCGTGATTTTAATTATCATGACTACGAGACAGCGCAATATATGGCATTAATATTGGTTGATTTGTGAGTATTTTGGATTTGGAATTTTGTATTTTTATGTAAAATAATGAAATAAATGTTGACAAGTTATTTATTAGGTATATATTTGAATTATTGTATCGGCCTGTGATGCGATTACCACTGATTATGCATCATTGCATTACAATTTTTCTTGTAATCTTTGGAACCTATATTATACAAGAATGGTGAGTTTACTAAGGTACTTCTATTGCGCCACAACTGAATTTCACTCATAGTATACGTTATTCGTACTTTATACTATAAATAGTGACAACCTGGATATTCTTCCACTAGCAATAATCATCCTATTTCAAGCTACCACCGAACAAATAACTTTTGTTGGGTTATTTCTCTATCGAGTAAAACCTTCTTTGTCGTCACGAACGTTATTTTTTGCTGCTGTTCAAGTTTTCATCTTGAAATTTTCTACGCTTGTTTGGAGTTACGTGTTTTGGGGTAAGTTTAATGCTAATAATATTCGTGATAATTTCAATACGCATTGGTGTTAGGTATTAAATTTCCGCTAACTACTTATACATATATTTGTTTACCACAGAACAACACGTGTTGCCGAATCGAGGTAAATGTCATGCAAGATTTATTATATTCATATCTTCTTTTTGAAGTTTAATAATTTTTCTCTTCATTCTATTTTTTATATAACAATTAGACGGACAATCTTTGGTGAAAGCATTCAACGTAATATTTCCAATCTGTGGAATTATTCTTTTTGGAACACAAATTTGGTCGACTTATGTCGTATATAAAATTGCAATTAAAGCTCGTCGAAATTCCAAAGATCAAAAACATACAAATAATAATCCTGATGAAAAAAAATTGGAAGAAAATTCGAATATTACTTTGCAAGATATTAATGTTAATGATGCGTCTATTAGGGTGACAGCAACCTCTTAGTAAACGTAAAAAAGTGCACGCCTTTTACATTTAGAGAATGCATTTTGATGATAGACTAGTTAAGCTTGACATCAGGCTATTTAGGGCGATGAGAGTATACATTTATAGAAGTGCATTTAAAGTCGGTTTCTCTGCATATACTTTCTGATTCTATATGATATTTTAATGTTAATGTATTAATAAAATTAATAAATTTCTTTTATATTTCATCATTCATTTCACGAAAACATTATGTAGTCAATTGATAGCGTTGATCAAATTTGTTCTTTATCAGGGATAGCAATTGTAAAACTTGATTTTATTCGAAAAGAATTAACATGACATGGATTCAATAATTATCGTTATTTATGCATTCAACTACTTCCCATAACAATATCGATCATATATAAGCATTTATTGTTGAGTTTGTAGAATATCTCTGACGTTATTATAAGGAGTATAATACTGAATTTAACAGTATTGAAGAAACTGCATGTATTAATAATTAGTTTGCCCAATATTTCTATAGCTTATTTCTTTTTAGATTATTCATAGGAAGTTATTTGGTACCGGTTAAATATAGTATCAGTCGGGTGCGCGATATATTATGTAAATCAAAATTATGTGAGGTACATATATAACGATAAAGGATTTTGTGTAGGATAACTAACCAAGACTAGTATTCGAGAAATTATTTCACTTGTATACTAACCATTTTTTTTCTAGTAATTTTTGCGGCGAAAAATTAGTATACTGTAACAAAAGGAAATTACAGTCTAAGCTATTTAATTAGTTACTGTAGATGTTTTAATTAGGAAGATTTCGCGATACATATGGCTAAGATAAAAAATAATAATACTTTTGTTTTAAATTGGCACTAGTTTTAACGCTGAACCTTTTTTAAACTCGAATATGTCTAAACCTTCTAAACGTACTGTAGATTACAACTAGAAGATGCACGCCAAAAAACGCGAGTTGGATCAGCGTCAAGTTATTTTTAAAATAACTAGTCAATTAAAAAAAGCATCTGTTCTCCAAGAAAAATTGCCGATAAACTTTTAAAGAATTATTTTTAAGTCGCTAAAACTGATAATTTTATGACTCTATACTTAATGATAAATATATTGATATCATAATAGTTCGTAATAAAAATCTGTATTATTTAACTTTTACTATGATATCTGACATAGATTTGATTAATTAGTATTATATAGTACTCCAGTAAATTATTTATAAGAGCTTGATTTTTTGATCGGCCAGTTTATACTCTAGACATAAAAGAAGTAAATTTCGAAAAAACTTTTTATTAGAATATAGAGAAGTTGTTAACAATAAGCATAAATTCGGACATTCTACGACTATTACCAAAGTTAACATCAATAATTGTTAAACTCAAAATTATGCTCTCTAAAATATATTGTATCATTCCTTTCCTCTAACAACGAGCAGTGTTCTTTATTTTATTGGAAGGTTTCGTAACTCATCTACATGTAAATATGTTTCGTACCATCACTATTAAATAATAATGAATTAAAAATTAGATGAGCAATGTATTTTAACATAATGCCGTTTGTAGATTCATTAATATAGTTATATTAAACATGTATTTTTGTATTTCTGATATTAAAATATTGAGGTAGTTATTTGGAACGTGCAATTTTACATTTTTTAGAGATTATACTGTATCTTGTGAAAGATAATATACATATTTAAATTATTGCGCTAACGCTAAAGCTAAGCATTTTTATCATGATCAATATGTCATCACATAATTAGGATTGGAACTTCGCATTGTATTTAGCACGTGTCCGATTAATGATTTCTAAGATCAGGATAAATACTAGGTTAAGGTTAGAACCTAGGATAAAGATTATATAGACAAAAAACGACTTAGTACATGTAGTAGGACATTTCGAAGATGATGAGTTAAGCGCATGCTAGGTTTAGGAGCCGTTTGATATTTTCGGTGGATGAATTTAACAAGGTTTATTATAACATCCGTGTCAGAAGCATGTTCGAGTAAAACATGTGGGAATCTGGGTTGAAACAAAGAGTATGTGTGAGCCTCGGATTAATAGGTACCTAAATGGTGTTCCGGAAGATTTTCCTCCGAGTATTGTTTGATGAAGCCTTAGATATTGTAACCTAGCTATGCAGACTGTTGATTATGGCTGACTTCCTATAAAAAATTTTAAAATTGATCATCTATCTGCGTATTTTCGGAATTAAAACCAGAAAATGATCATTAATCGGAACCTTTTCCAGGAATTTTTATGGGGGACTATGTTAGTTGATCGATTCAATTCCATCCGCTTTGCATAGATATTATTACGATACTAAAAAATGCCTAATAACATTGAACTTCTTCCAGACCCATTGAAATTTATCACCATATCGATACAAGAATTTATAATTAATGTTATCATTCGTTATGACATGATGATTTTTAAGCTTAAATTCGATCTGAATAACAAATTACGAAAAGGCGTTATGAATTCATGTCTTTAATAAATGCTATATCCGGTTCAGAAGAATAATGGAACGTTATCTACGTATTATACCGCCCTTGTTCAAGCACAATTTTTAAATATTTCACCAATTAAATTCGGCTAAATTCTACAATTGATGATTTATTTATTCTATGCTAATATCGATATCGAAATTGACATCGATATGCGTTTAATACATGTAATCATTTTTAATTGGGGTGTGAGATTCAATAGTTGGGGGAGCATTATAATGTAGAAATATAATATAAAATTATGTAAATTTCATCAACAACATAATGATAAGGGGTATTATGACGCAGTAAAGAAACTATGATCGGAAACGCACGAACATACCACAATTCGAGTTTTCGATCATAAGGTATCGAGATATCGTATAATACCCTTAATTATCATTTTAAAACCTCATCCAAAAAATGGCTATTTTTTATTTAGAAATGTAATTTGCTAATAAATATATTAGTTTCGGTGATACAGTATCTGTAAAAAGTTCTTATAGCAATTTTGATTGCGTCATAATATTCCAATCTACCTTATATAACTTTACATCTTTATAAATTTCCATTATTAAAAAATATTAATATATTGAATCTTGGAACTTATTGAGAATGCATAGACTAGATAAATCTAAATTGTGATTTTACAAATAAAGAGCTATTTTGATTAAAAGACATCATAATATTCTTATATTATTAGTGAATCTAGAAGTTCGGTCATCAATGGAAATATTAGCAATGTATTTTTTTTTAGTTAGGAATGTAGTATCGCATGATTCTGTATCTTAGTGATTTTCGTTCAGGTACACGTCAAACTCTCTATAATGACACCATACTGAAGTTCGTTGTCATTTAGAGAATAATTAATAATGTCGTTATATAGAGTGAACCATGGCCATTTTTGGTTTCAAATAAAAAAATTTCGTTACAAAGAGGTTGACTTGCAATAGTTTTATTATATCAAGTTAAAACGCCTGAAAAATCAGCTACATCTAATGCATGTACATATCGGCACTATTGCTTCTTTTATACATGTAGTTGCTATCGCTACTTTCATTATTGTTTCCTCCAAAATTATAACATCCTGTTACTGCTTCCATAATTGTAATTACCGTTATGATTTCTGTTATAGCTATCATGATTTTAGACCTAGAAAATTCAAAATAAATTAATGATCTCATTAGATTAAAAGAATAGTCATTTATACACATATACAATTTTTATTAGATACTTACAACTGTGCCTGAAGCTGATGCAATACGAGGCCAAGGATCCGCACATTCGTGTTTTCCATTATAGCTTCCTTGGTCGCTATTACCAACATGAGCGTTATTGCCATTTCCGTCATGTGATCCTACTGGAGCTGCGGTAACTAGTGTTGCGAAAAGAACAGAGGCTAAAGTTATTAAGAAAATGTGCTTATACATCTCAGTGAGTTTTCAGAATGAATAAATATATTTTTCAAATTTTTAGATCTTTTGAATTTTTGTCAAGAGAAATTGAGTACGCAGTTTTTAAATAAAATTTCAAAAAAGTAAATATCGTCTTCATAGGTTACATGTATTTTGGAATCGGTCTACAAATTTCTGATTGTTATTCATCTAACTAAATTGCCAAAGGAATTAATTACACGTACATGAAATTGTGTAACTTTCAAGATAATTTTGGCATTAACGTGTTTAGAATCTGTGTCACTTCTATATCAGTACGCTTTTTAGCCACCAAAATGGGCCATAATTATTCGTCAACTTCTTAAAGATATCAAAAATTAATGAAATCTAAAATTGATAATGTACTTGTATATTTATAGCAATAAATAAAATAAATGCAGTTAATGTTTTCAGGCAAAACCTAAATTCAATGAAATCCTAAAAAATCGTAAATCTATACTGTACAATCGTAAATATATAGGAGTGTTATGCATGTCTATCGCTATGCATCTACATGTGTAATGCCAAAAATACATGTACCTTTTTACATGTACTGTATTATAGTTTATGTAATTACCATCTTTGGCTATTCTAGAAATGTTATATATTTTATAAATGAAAAATTAATTTCATGGATTTGTTGAGATATGACATAAATAAATTATTTGTCTACTCTTTTTTTTATTAAAGAGCAATTTAACTACATGCAATACTAAAAACGTGTAAAATTTCACTTACCTAATATATGAAAAGAATCATTACAGTAAAGCTTAAAACGTACAAAAAATATCATTCCATAATAATATTCTAGGCCCATTAAGAAAGGATTAATCAAAAACTTATTAAAATCGGAATTAACAGAACTTATTGCTACGATCTGTAAATAATAATTAAAGGTGCTTTTCAGAAAATCAGAAGTTTAATAGAACCTATTATTATAATCTACACACATTCACTACTTGTAATAAAGCTTTGAAACTATCCAATTAGAAATAATAATTAACAAATAGAGTATTTGAATGTTAATTTATCTTTTATTTAATAAATTAGTACATGCGAGTTTTTTAACATTAAGCAGTTCTTTTATACATGTCAGTTTTCTTTATTTTTTTAGAATTAGTTCTTTTTATACATTTCACAAGATTTTGACATTGTCAAATTTTAACACTGTCAAATACAAAAATATTTAATTATTCTAAAAAGAATTTTTTGAAACTGCAAAAGTTTATTCATTTTCCTCCATAATGTTATAATGTGATATGGGCTGGTGCAAAAAGATTGGTACACCAATATAAAATTAATAATTGCTTCCAATAAAAATTATTCAAATTTTAATCAATCTTTATATTTTTTTATATTAAATAAAGAAAGATCTAAATTAACTTTTTATACTATTTTAATTATTCTATTATATTTTAATTTAATAATAAATGAAGCATTACTTTACTAAATAAAATTATTTTTTAAAAAAAAAGACATTTTAAATATTATCACTATCAATTTGCAAGATTAGAATTTTAAACAATGCAAGCAGATTGCCCTAGATTTGATAAATATATATTCTAAATTTCATAAAAATTGAATCAGTAGTTATAAAGATATTAAGATTCAAAGTTAAGTAATTAAATTATTTACTATATAATATTTATATTAATTTTATCAAAATTTATATAGTAAAATTTAAGAAATAATAATTGAAAAAAGTTATTATTAATAAAAAATTTTTATATTTAAATAAATTCCAATACCTAATAACTTAATTAAATAAGATAGAGTTAAAATTTTATTTTGAAAAAATAATTTATTAATATTTATCTGAGATACAAATCTTTTTGCACCAATTCATAATAATGAATATAATTTATGCTTAGCTATTATAACTATATAATACTTATTTATTACTAGTCTTTTATTAAATTATAACTAGTTACAATTTAAGATTTACTAATTATAATTATTTAATACTTATTTATTATCTTGTCAAAAATATTATTATTATTAGTTAATCCAGATAGTATTATTAATAAAAGTTAAAAATTCAAGAAAAGATTAGTTATGTATTTATTCTAAAAAGATAAGATAGTTTATTATATTAAAATATTATAAGTATTATTATAATAATATAAGTTAATTATACAAAGTAGAAAATCATAAAAAATATATAAGTATTAATCTCATTTTTGTTTAAGATTATTATATATTAGATAGAAGAAATGAGATTATATTTAATAATAATTTGAAACTTAAAATTTAGTTTATGTTATGCACAAGAAAATTTTTTATTAGAACACAAAAGGTAGCGTTTGTTTTGAATTTTTAAGTTACATCAGTACCTATTTTTCATTTAAATGAAAAGTATTTGGTTCGTCGATGTAATTTTTGTCAACATTTTACGAATTCTGATAACCAGAAATCATTTGCTGTTTGAGTTCAGTGTTGGCCAATTTCATGGTCGTTCGCCATTTTTTTATTCATAAATTTATAATAAATTGAATAATACCTCGATGTTTGAAGTCATATCAAGATCATAAGCCAACACTGCATGAGTTATACGATCCAGATGAAATAAATCTAACACCTTTTTTTTCTCTTTTATAACTGATGTATCAAAGATATCCAGTAAAATTAAAATTGCATTCTTCTCCTTTCAAACATACATTTATCTACTGAACGCGATCCTTTATCCTTATCTAATGCAGACAATGCCCTGCACCCTTTTATAGTGTAATACATAAACAATGGTTATAAAAAGAAAAATTAATAATATGCCAAGACTGCAGAGACTAAAAATATATAAATCGGGATAATTGTGTGAAAAAACTGATAAATGAAATTTCTTGATAAAGGATTTAATAAATGATCGTTTGTTTGAAATTTCTTGATAAAGGATTTAATAAATGATCGTTTGTTAGAATATTCCTGTTCTAATCATAGTTATATGAGTTATACGTAGATGCATTTGGCTGAAAAATCACCAGTTTGTATAATAAACTAATAGTTTATGGTAATTTGGAATTTTATCATATGAAATACGGTAAATTTATTTCGGAGTTGAAAAAGCTCAATTGTACAGTATAATAATTTCCTAATTTATATGAAAATTGCTTGGCTTGGCTGACTACATGTATCGGTAAAAGAAAGAATTAAGATTACATGCATGAATTGTACATCTACATACACATTTCCATCATGAAGATAATACATACACATTTCCATCATGAAGATAATACATGCACATTTACATCATGAGAATTATCGTTATTACATTTCGGTAACAGGATAGGCTTGTCCGAAACAATCTTTAGAAGACTAGTCAATTCAAATATATAAAGAGACCTCACCCCTTCACAAGCAATTCACAACTTAAAGGATCCATAGTACAACCTAATTACGAAGCAAAGATGAAGCCTCAATCAATTATTTTATCCCTGACCGTCATCACGGCTTCCGTAATTTATGCTCAAGCTTGCACAGTTTGTAAGATCCTATAACTCGATTAAGTTGTGAATCCGTAAAACTCTTCCATACTAATGTTATTATTTCATTTCTTTAGTTTTGAATGGCACTGCATTTAAAAGTCAAACTGGCAGCGTAGGAGGTGGATGTTTTGGTTTGGGCGATAATAACATAACTAATGTTACGACCAGTAATCCTGGTACCAACTACACCTTTTACCCTGGTTACGGCTGCACAGGAGCGCCACTTGCTAATGGCACTGATGCTACCAATTACGATCCGCCGATAGTGGGAGCCAAATCAGTCAATATAACCTGTCCAGATTCAACATAATAAAAACTTAATGTAACTATTAACGACGACAATTGATTAAATGAAATCTATCATGTAATTTCATGCAATAAAATCTTTTTACCGTAGACAATATATCACAAAATGGTGTGCTTGTAAAGTAAATTCCTATAATAATGGTACAACTTTGATTACCCAGTGCTGTTGCTTGCATGGGCGTTTCCTAAAAAATATATAGTAAATAAAATAAATGAACGAATTGCATTTATAGAGAGAAATGTTATAAGGATTATATCTTAATTTACTAAAGTAATTTCATATAATTTACTATATGTACATATACATGAACATACATCTACATCTATTGAAAATGAAATTACGTAAGACATGTACTTTTTTTCAGGAGCATTTATTCCGGTCCTCTGACCAATTAAATCGTAAGATAAATGTGTAAATCAAAGCAAATGTTCATTTTTGAAAAAATGGCTTGTACATGTATCTCGAAATTTTACATACTTTTGTTCCTTGTTGAATTTTGCTATATAACAGAAACCAATTAATATTTAATATCTTTCGATTGATTGGTAACTCGTTAGTGTCGGAAACTGGGGGATCGGAACTTGTCCCAGTTTCAATAAATGCTATTTCAGAAATTTCCAATGAAAGGTATTGTGGCGAAGATATCTGGAGTCTAGTGATTGGAATAACACTAAAATATCACCATTCGATTCATCATGATTAGACGAACCGAATGGTGATATTTTCGTGTGATTCTGATCACTATATGATGAGATATCGCATAGGTAAAGGGTTGATATTATGATTTATATTAAGTAATTCTTGTTCGCCACAATGTCCTCATTAAATTAAAAATTTTAGTTTTACAGCGCAGGAATCCTTAAACCAGCAAAAAATAGACTCAATTTTTAAAGTTATTCATGTAAGAAATTAAAATATAATTTTTGACAAGAGTGATTGATCACTGCAGCTAAAGATCATGATTGAAAGGTAATGCAAATCATTATATAGATTCGTTATTGCTCGCCTTTGCACATTTCTGATTTTCTTTTTTTCGCAGCACCAATAATATGTATTTTCACAACTCTTTTCTTTTTACCATCACTATTAGCTCCTGATTTATAAGGTTGAAAGTCTTGAACTATTTAGAATTTTATACTGTCGGGATATTATACTGTCGAGATTTTGGATTTCGGGATGTCGTCCTACACCACAAAAAAATCAGATATGCACGACGACGATTTTGGTCCCAAAATTGACGTCGTGATCGTGCATTTCTCAAGATGAATCGTCATTTTGGAAATCATTGTTAGAGAAGTTTTTACTTTGTCCTGAATGTGTTAATAAAGTATTTCTATGGATCAATGCGTAATAAGACTTTATTGTTTTAGGTTTGCATAAAAAAAGTAATCGTTTTTATTTTAGTTTTACAAAGCATGCATAGTATAATCAGTACTTTAAAAATATTTATATAGAAATAATTTTTGTGATATCTCAAAAAATATAATATTAACACATAGTCAATCTGGATGTAATCACTATGTAATTAAACTCGGGATATAGTGAATTTGAGTTCCATACTCATTTATAATAATAAACTCGTGATATAAAGAATTTTTGACAAATGATCCACTATGTGCTGTATTAGTATCTTAAATTAAAAAAAAGCGATGAAAGTACAACAAGAATATGGTTGACAAATACAAATTATGGATAGCTATAGATAGTTTTGTGTCTGCTACTATATAAAAAGAAAACGATGAAGATTTCATTAAAGAGTACCATAAAACAACCATTACTTTAATGATTTAATTTAAATTAGTAATTATTTCTTATAGTCATTAGAGAAATTTGTAGTTTTGAAAAATAGTAACATTCTTCTAATAAGACAAGCATTTGGTTATGAAACATAAAGTATTAAATAATTAATATAATATCAAGTAATTGTCAAGTTTTTTTTTGAGTTACTTATATAACTTCTTTTATATATAGTCAATTAATTTGAATTCTAAACTGAAGAATTGCTATAGTTAATTAATCTGGATTAGAAACTGAAGAGTTCTAAATAGGTATATATAAAATAATGCACTTCTAGTATTTAATTGACTTTTGAATTTAGTTTTATTCTGAATGAAAGTAAAATATCTTCACTACAAAATAGTGCAATCTAGTTTTTTGTGTTTATACTACTACAACATATTTATTGCTATTTCAAATACTTTTTGCATCTTCAAGCTATAATATCATTATACATATATATTTTGTGCCTCAGATATCAACTTACATCAGATGTCATTTTCACTTGATTTCCATTCAGCCAACATTAATCTATTTCTCCAGCAATCACTTATATAAATATAAAATAAAAAGTGCTATTAACATTAATAAAATCAATTTATTAAAGCATTATACTTAATTTAACCCTAATTCTAACCCTTATTCTAATTTGGGCTGACGCAAGAAGCGATCTGAGGCATAATATATATAAATAATAAAGTCAAAGGTGAAGGCAAACAATTAAACTTTATTAATTATATGCAAAATCTTAATAGAGGAATCAAACTAAATAATGACAATGATGAAGTTTTCAATATATTTCCGGACTTCCAATGAAACTATAACTGATACGTCAGAAATATCATCTACTTTCTTTCTCTCCCGCTTGATGTTTTATTCATTCCGAACTTACTGATACAGAAATTAATTCTTCACAAATTGTTCAAAAATGACCCATTACAAATGTTAGATTAAATTCAACAAATAAGAGATCTCAAACCAAGTTGGATTGAACGAAAAAAAGATGGAATCATACAATGCACTGCATCATTTCAATTAACTATATCAATCACTCCCACAAGTGTATGATCCTACCAATCCTCTTCCTCGAAATCGTCAAGAAAAAAGCACGCATAGGCTTCTCGCGTGGATTTGACATGCAATCATATCACATTATTAACAATGAAAAAATTCAAAAAGCTGATTCATGAATGCGAACTGCGATTTATATTTCCTCTATATACAAAACTTGGCCAGTCAATAACTTTTACACAAATGAATGAAAGATACCATGATTTCTTTCTGTTTTACAAGAGACTTGTGGACCAATATTCATCATATTCCTTATATTGAAGTAATGTAATAATTCATTGGTTAGGATCTGATTTTTGCAATGTATCGAACACTTTTGACAATAAGAAATTTTCTTATCCACACACAAACGATCAAATCGAATTTTTTTACTGAATAGGAATTACATGTAACCAATAAATTATTCGCAGTAGCAACCAATAATGCTTTAAATACGCATAAAGCAATCCAACAACTTGGCTATATTCATATAGATGGCATGGCACATACAATTCATCTAGCTGTTAATACTGGACTGTAGTTAATTAAAGAAATATTAATAGCACAGACCAAAAATCTTAATAACTTTTTAATTAAAAGAAATTAATGATCAATGAAATGATTCATCTTTTCATCACAGAATTCTTAATGTTATTACTAAATGCTCGAAAGACTTTTATTTACTTTAGAACCAATTCATCAACTTCAACTATACTTAGCTCGTGATGTTGGCTATCAAGTTCGAGCGGATTTAAAATTTTAGATAGCTTACTTTTAACCGATAAAGAAGAAAAGAAATCAAAGAATTAGTCTTTGTTTTTATAATCAATTGCCTCTGTTACAATATCTCGAGCTCATTTAACTTTTAATTGTTCATTTTGACAACACAAATGTCTCGTTATAACAAAAGTTGATCTTTTGCTACTTATTGTTTTGCTCCTTTATATATTAATGATAATGATTCGGTATGTTAAATTTCATTATATATTATCATTATTTAAAACTAATAATTACTCAAATAATTTTCGACATTAGGAATAGAGAACCATATACATAGACATGAACCTTTCACTTTCAAAAATACAGCAAATAAAGATAAAGTGACTATTAATTGATTCTAATTTTCGTTTGTTTCTTTAACGACTACTATTTTTAAAAAATGAAATTTCAAAAAATGTTGAAATAATTTGTCAATAAAAACCGGTTTGATCATTTTCTGAATTACTTTATTAGAAAGTTTTCCGTTTAAATCATCCAACAATTTAATTGTATCACGTGATATGATATCTTTTGCTCTTTTATCTCCAATACCATTAAAAGAACGTATTTGATCTATTTTGCCTGTATTGATAATAGAGATCACCTCAGTTTCGGTTGACTTATGTAAGCGAGTGAACACCTGAAGGAGATTTTGTTCGGATCTTTGGTTTTTTAAATTATCATTTTCTTGTCTTAGTTGTTGGTTTTCTATGTTAAGTTGTTCGATTTTTGAAGGACCCTTTTATAGAAATTCACAGGCAAACATCATAAGCTCATATATAAATCTATATTTGAATCTTTTAGATTAGAGTTACCTTTTTTGTTTTTTTCAAGAAGGATCCTCATGTACAACGATTCCATTCGATAGCAAAAAATGGTTTTGTCGGCGAATTTACCTTTTAAGGAACAGTTCCCGATTCAAGAAGTGAACATCACACCCATTACCACTAAAATCATCCACATGTCCACGATAATAGACAGACAAACTATCAACCCGAATTCGAAATGACAGAATCAATTCTCACATTTTTCGAGAAATTTCTTATCCATATATCTAAAGTTGAAGCATCAAGTTCATTAAAGAGAAACGTTAGAGTTGATAACAATGATGATGATAAAAGTAAGAAGAGAAGTAGAAAAAGTAATACACACAAGTAGTCATTTTTCACGTATGATTTATTGAACACTCGATATACCGACATGCAGATCCTACTGTAAACAATAGAATCTGCATGTCGGTATATCAATATCGAGAGTTGACTGTATTGCCTTTATAAATCGTAGTAGACAGACTATATAGATGGGTCAAACAACTTGAAGAAACAAATATCCTTAAACAGAAAAGTCGTTCCGGCCGTCCAACTTGAACTAGTTGAAGATGTATCTTACCCAACTCAGAGCTTGATTTTGTTGTTGCT